AAAAAAAATCTAGGAATGTGTACACATCAAAATAATTTCAGCTCCATTTAAAAAACCATTTAGTTCAAGTGTGACACATGAACCATTATGCATTTGTGAAAACCAATTTTATGTGATCTACGATTAAACTAACCTTTCAGAGAGGTGTAAAGTGTGATGGTTATCATGTTTTAAAAGCCTTGCAAGATCACATAAACAATTTCAAACTAACAGTTTTCTAATGGTTTGTGTTTAAAATGATTTTGAGGCAAGTTAAGCACTGTGAACTTTTATCTCTAGCTTCTTTTTGAACATACAGTACACAAATTTTCCTTACAAACAGAACTTGCTGCAAATTCATGCAATCTCAGAGCAAGAAGGGAAAGAACTGTGCTGGTGCTAAGGATGAGCAGCAGCGTGCTGTTCAGCAGTAAGTGAAAAGCACTTGCTTTGCCCCTGCTTTCCCTGGAACTGCAGAAGAAGGTAATTATATGTTAATCTTTACAATAAAACTCATGTCCAGGGAGCTGATCTTTAGAAACTGACACCATCAAGTCTCCTCATGCCTTCACCCGGCAAGTAATAAACACAGAAGATAATTAGTAAATGCAGAAACCTGTAGATTATTTTCTTTGACTTCTTTTGCTTTTTAAATTTCTTTTTGCGAGCACTGAAACCTTAATCCAGGCATTACCATCTCCTGCATCAATGCTTAGACCCAGCTTTTCATTTCTCCTGTCCTTCTTCTACTGTCCAAATTGTCTTTAATAACATAATGATGAAACTGCTGTGGAAGTCCATTACTCACTATACTTACCTTTGAAATGGGAGGAGTGACTTTCTCCATCTTTCCATCTGATGTATTCTGCTCCCAGTTATTAAATATTCTTCTTGAATCCCTTACACACTTTTAAGTCTTTTTTGTTATGTTTACAGTGTTAGCACAGATCTTTACACATCTTACAAAAACACTTTTTCCTTAAAAGTCTAGACTTTTTTTTTTTTTTAATCAAGACTGCAGTTATTGATTTATCCACCAGAATGTGGGTAGTCCTCTGTTGCGTCCTGTCTGTTTCTCTCCTTTTTGGCACATGCATACTGATCCTAACCATAGGTTACATTGAGAACAAGCCTAGTTTTCAATGTTTTTTTTGTTGTTGAATTTTTCTTTCTTTTTTTTTTTTTTTTAATAAAAGCTCTTTAAGAGAGATACAAATCCTTCTACCCTATTTGATGGATTTCCTTTTGACACCGTCAGTTGAGAGACTTTGGAATGTCTAAGTAACTTCAAAAGTATCACAAAGCTGAAAACAATCACCTTCTTCTCAGACATATACTTGTATTTGTTATGGGTTGTCAGCACCCAAATGCATTCATGGAGGTCTTAAGGGCTTGCATCACGAAAAAATAAATAAGTACTAATAACTTGTGTAAGACTTCCTTGAAGCATAAATCAAAAATTAAAAATAAAAGATTAGTTCAATACATCTATAACAATCTCACAGTTCTCTCAAACAGCTGTTTTGTTTTTTTTTTTCCCTGTCTTTAAAAATTCTGGCCTTTGAATAAATGTCACTGTGAAAAACCTTCTGAATAGGGCACAGGTGAAGAAAGTACCAGCTAAAGATGATGCTAAATTTTACTGAGTCTGTATTCTCACTATAATCCCAGATTACCTTACAGTTGTTTAAAAAAGGATTTGTATTTTTTTATTTCGTGACACCAGTTTCAAATGAGGCTGAAAGGGATGCATTTGGGTTGTCCCACAAATTACTCACTTGTTCAAAATTAAGCCAAAAATTCTGCTGCACAATTTCTTCCTTTATTAGAAAAATAAAAGTTTCTCCACCTACTTTAAAATTCTTGTTTGGCAGATGAATATTTTATATGAGGTAGGTAGGAAGTAATTTGCAGGAAAAGAGAAGGAAGAAATTATTCTTGCTCCCTGTCAAGGCCTTTAGTTTGGTCCTAGGCAGCTAAAACTTTGGGACAAGAATACTATTCTGGACTTGCTTTTGTTGATTTTTTTGTTTTTTTAGGTTGCAAAACAAATTCTACCTTTGAGAATGGAAAATGTCTGACTCCACCAGTGGGAGCTCATGCCAAATATCTTTTAGGTGTGCAAGGTGCCAGATCATCTACATTTAATGACCAGCCTTCCAATTTCATCAGTATATCCACGTCAGAACATCTCCATCTCTTCAATAAACAACTGTTGGTCTGTATGACTATATTTAATGTGAAAATTGAATGGAATAACTGAAAGTAAGAACTAATTCTGCAGACTTAAGATCAGAAGACAGAAGAAAATTAGATTTCAGAATGATCAAAAGAATTTAGATTTTCACCCATATTAGGCTTTCTTCTTTTGCTCACAAAGAAGACAAATTGTTTCTCTAATGTAGACTGTTAATATGTCTCCTATTTGAGCTGCACATTTACTATTTTTTTAATAAAATCATTATTATTTAGTAGGTGACAACTGGCTTCATATTAACACCCTTCCTTCCTCTACTAAATGGAAACCAGATAAAACATTAATGGGAATGCATTTTGGTGTCAAAACCATTAACATTCTTCCAAAATGCGTAACTGTTCTCCATTATCTTCAGTTAATATTGCCAACATAAAAAGATGCTCATGAACATACACAAGGGATGGGAGAGAAAAGAGGGGAAGAAAGGAGCTGGAATGAGGAATGAGAAATTAATGTCTGCACCAGGATAGGCATCTTCATTGAGTAGGAACCTGGATGTTTATAAGAGGACACGTGCAATTAGAAAGGCAAGCTGATGAGAGGATAAAAACAAAACAGGGTTGAGCAACAGCAGCAGCAGCAGCAGCAGCCAGTTTTACTTCTGGATTGGAGGGAAAAATAAAGGCAAAAAAAAAAACCAAACAACAACCAAACAAAGAAACAAACAAACCAGTAACTGAATAAAGTTTTTAACTACTTTTTTGTTTAATTCCACAAGTTTTCACAAGGACAAAGTTATAGAAGGAAACCCACAGCAGTTGCTAGGTCATGCAGAACCATTAATTGTCATACCTTGGCCCATTCTATTCATCCTTGTTGCACTTTAGAAAAAGAAGTAAGCTATGTAAGTTTTACAATGCTTTTAAATTGTCATATTTCCTGTAGAGCACTTTAACTGGCACATCCTTATAGAAATAAATATTCTCAGGGCAAAACACGGTAACTTTCTTTGCAAAAAGAAAAACATGAATTTGTCTTTATGATCAAAAGCAACTGTAATATATTGACTTGTAGGTGAGCAACCAAAATTTGCAACATATTTCACTGACAGGACTCACAGCTGCATTTGAATGCACACACACATATATACTGTATTCCAATTGTTATGCTTAATACTGTGCAGTGGCTCTCTGTAGCCCACTTATATGGTTACAGGTTTTGTCAGTAAAAGTGCTTGGCTTCATTGTCAATTCACACAGCAAGCAAATCTTCAAAATTACCATGCTTGGGGAAGGGGAAGGTAAAAAACAACACTAACCATAAAAGCACCTTGTCTGGGTTGGCAGATGCAATGCTAATCACTCCCATATCCAAGTTTTTTCTTTTTTTTCTCTCTGCATGCTTTCTTGCTGGGTAGAGAGTGAAGGTGGTACAAGTTTCCAGCCTTCCTACCCATCACCCAGGGAACTTCTTCACACAGCCTAGAACTATTTCTAGATTTCAGAAGGTTGGCATTTGAAATTTAAAAATAAGCCTCAAGTACCATTTTTGTGGCTCCCTAGGATAGGTTTATTTCCTCTACTTTATGTAACTTCTTGCAACAAGCTCTGTTTGGCTGGGTGAGTCATTGGTGAGAATACACAAGTGCCTAGAACATGATGCCTCAGTACAGTGTATGTTTCCACCCCAGCTCTCTTGTTCTGCTTATTCATTAGCCATTTTGGCACAGCATCTTTTCTTCCCAAATGGGAAGGAAGCTCACAGATCTTAAAGGCACTCAGTTGTCCTCCCACTTATTTCTGCTTACCATGTACTGGCATACCTGCTGAAAAGAACTGGCTAAAACATGGCTTGGGATTTCTGGAGGATCTTTGCAAATTAGGACTCTCATTGGAAGATTTATACCACCACTCTACCTTTGAAAAGTTAAACTACCATCTGGGGAAAGGAATAAAGTCCCCTGGGAACTGATACTTAAGCATAGAAAAATGCTTGCTCTTTTCTGAACATTATTTATTCTGTACATAAGGTGACTAATTCACCTTTTAAAGACGTAAAAGTCCCAGCAAGGCAATTTTTAATGACTTACATCCAATATTTATGATACATATGGCTTTTTATCCCAAATGTCAAAAGTGAAAGAAAATATAGCTATTCATGTGGCAGTATAAATAGACAGAATAATAATTTAATATGCAATTAGACTCTTTCTAAACTTAAATTAAACCATTGGAGTTTTACAACTCTATGCCCAGACAATGTCAATGTTAAAGGGAAAAAAAACACTAACTCCAAAATGTTAGTATTTTAGAGAAAGTCTTCAAAGAAGCAGAAAAGTCCCTGATGTTGCTTTGGTATACAGCAGGTGCTTAACAATAATCTATACAAAGAGCACAAGTGCTATATAATTTAAGCTTAGCTAGTGAAAAAGCAGTAGGTGTGCTATTGTTTTTGTGGGCTTTTTTTTTTTTTTTTGGCAATAGGTGAATTTCATAAGCTTCATATAAATGTATCAACTCCTGTAGATGCAGTTATAAAAACCTACTGCAAAATACATCAACACTTCTGCACTAAATGACTTTTTTTGTGTAAGTCTAACACCAAAAACAAGTGTTCATGTTAAATATAATCTATTTTCTGATATCTAGGTAACTGCAGTGAGTTATTTATGTTTTCAGTGTGCCTATTGGTTTTAGATTTTTTTCTCCCCTAGTATTATAAATAACTTTTGGTCCGTCTGCTTTGTTGCTGTTGTGCTTAAGGGTTTTATGGTGGTGAAATAAAAATGACAACCACATGCACACTGTCATACATATGCAAAATATGTGTACAAAAAAGGAGAGCTCCATGGGAAAACAGGGAACATTACTGTTGGAAACATTAATTGGGGAGAATGGGTGGTGAATGCAAGTTTCACACACAGTGGGAGCAGATACACATATCAAAGTCTATCCTCCTGCACATACTTCTGTTTTTCCCGGGAATCCCTGGTCTTGGTGCGGTTCGGTCGGTTTGCTGTTGATGGGATGGAGTGAGCTGATGAGCTCTTCTTGCTGGAAGAATAGGAGGAATGGGAGGAATGAGAAAGACTGGCCCGGGATTGGCCAGCGTTGTGGTCGAACTGCATCAAACAGAAGATCAAGTCTGTCGGCACAAGCTCAAACTCATACGGTGGGTTTGTGATAACATAACTGCAAAGAAAGAGGGAAGAATGTTTAGATTTCAACCAAAAATTTCCTCTAGAGATGGACATCCCATGAACATTTATAAAGATTTCTGTTACTTGAATGTGTACATGATTACAGTTCACATAATACCACACTTTTTTCAATGCCATCTTATGTCAGATATCACTCTGAAAGTTTGCTTAGTGGAACAGATATGTTGACTTAGTAGGATGTTCTCCAAGGAAGCCACATCATGATTTTTCTGAGAGCACAGCATACAGCTTATCCTCCTTTCTCTAGCTGCTTTGGAATGCATTGCCTCTAGTAAACTGATACAAAAAACAATATACCTACCAGAAATGACACTTAAAGCTGGATTTTACATAAATATAATATAATAGTATCAACTGTTGCTCGTATTACCACTACACATAAAACAGGTTAGGAAAAATAAGTGAAGTTAATTCCTTTTTTCATTTCACCTTTGTGGTCAGTTTCATGACCACAGTTTCATGACAAAGAAAAATACAAGGATTCTATATTGATAAATATACATATACAGGCCTGAAATAAAAACTTTGTCAACCTCAATGATCCCCCACCTGCAACCAAACCTCTTTCAAAGACAGTAAAGGCTTTTAGATCTTACTGCTAAAATCTTTCATGTGTATAAATGCGTTGTATTTGAACAAGGCAATAGGAACTTTCTTTATAAGAAAGGAATGAGTAAGAATTCTGAAACACACAAATTCTTTTCAAATTCAATGTTAGCAAGATATCTGGTTTAACTGCTTCAGAGACTATAGTCACTTATTAATTCAACTAATAATCCCAAATAAAGCAAGTACAGAGTAAATCTAAACTGAAAATCATTTTTCTAAACATTCCATCAAAATTATTATGGATGAAACCACTTCAGTGGGATGCAGTGTTGCTTATTGTTTATTGCCATGTCTAGCCAATGCTTTTTGTAAAGAATGAAATAGTAATGGATGGCATACTTATGATAGTTCTGATGTGGGTTTATGTGCATATTTCCAGTGGGTGCACATTTCAAGTAAGCTGCCAAATAGCCTTTGGGTTGCAAAGATTGAAATGTATCCATTCTGTTCAAAGTACTGAGTTCAGCCTCAGTTTTACCACAGTTAAAATGCAGTCTATTAACAGAGGAATCTACATTTATGGGAGGAAATGGTGATTATACAAAACCTATGACTTCAATTCCCTAAAGTGTTACCACAAAGTATTCAAAGATTTAGCTTTTGCTGCAAAATTATAAAAAAAAAATAGGAGAAATCTACTTATTTAGATTTCTTACAGGCATTAGGATATCCTCATCCAGAAGTATGAAGAACAGTGAGAGAGATGTTCTAAGATCACACTTACCGTTTAGTGCATTGGCTGGGAGTACTTAGATGAGCATCCCTTAATCGATAAATTCCAAAGCAAAGCATGTTATATGTTTTTAGTGCTTTACAAAATAGATCTCCATAACAGCCTCCATCCTAGGAAAGGAAAAAAAAAAAAAAGAAAAAAAAAAAAAAAAAAAAGAAAAGAAAAAAAAAAGGAAGAAAAAAAGAAAAATAAAAAAAGAAAGAAGAAACACTGTTGCTGTTTTTTTTTTTTCCTCTTTTCTTATTTAAAACCGTGACAGAGAAGTAGATTTTCAGTAGGAGTTTGTACCAAAATGACAATGTATAGACAGCCTGTTTGTGTCACAAATGAGAATCTTTTATCAAAGCAAATGAATAAACTAAATGTTTTACTTCAAATAAGTAATTACTTCAAGTGATCATTATTTTGGAGAGCCTAGATCCATGCAAAGTTACTAAACTGGCAAAAGTTAATGATCTGTTTTAAGATGGAAATGCAAATTTTGGTATTAAAGAATGCATAATTCTACAAATTACATAAATTATTGTTTTAAAATTGTTAGTATTTGTGACCCTTTTAGGCAGCAGCCATGTTATCATCTTGACAAACTCACTGAGGAGAGCAACCAAAACAAGGGATCTGAAGAGTTAAATAATTACATATCTCCCACTTTAAAATAGTGATGATAAGTATCTATTTCATAAGCAGTATAAAATTATTGCCTTGAGTAGCAAAAACATTAATTTATATTTGATAATTTGTATATTTAAAATATTGATTCTTAAGTAATGGTGAGTGTTCAGTACATTCAGTGTTCATTGACACAATGCAGTTGAAGATCTGGCAAAGCAGCAGTTTGACTGGTATTTTTCATTTTAATTGTGAAAATGTTATTCTGAGTGCCCATATGTTTTGATGAGCTACTAGTCTCAACTATGAATGGAGCTTTACAGGTATTGACAGGTTTTTTACTTCCATCTGTGTGTTCTCATTGGCTTTAATTCTTAATCTGGTGTTTCTCAAGAAGAGTACAAGATTTGGCCCAGAAAACATTTTTAAATACTACTTTATCCAAGCATGCCATTTTTTTTAAATGTTCTACTTTAAAATTTTAATTTTTCTCTTAGGATAGCTGAGTGAAAGTGTCAGAAAACTAGGATTTCACAAGTATTTTAGTCCATTCAGAAACAAACAAACAAACAAAAAAACATTATGGTTTTGTTTGCCAGACAATAAGTGTATTAGAAGAAATTAAAGCTCTATGCAGAGACTGAAAAAAGTCATCAAAACCCAATAAGGGTACAGATATTTTCATATATAGACTGGATTATTAGTAGGACAGTTATTTTCTCCAAGTCAGCTCATGCATATCTTTAAATGAGTAAGAAGAGCCATAGGACTTTTCACTCTGCTTGAAATACTCAGCAAAGTAGACTAGCAAGTCATATAACATCTTAAAAAGAATAAGAGCAAACCTGACACCCCACATATTAAAGTGTCAAGCCATCTAAAAGCTTTATTATTTGAAACTAACTAACAGAAATCATGCACTACGATAGATTTTTAATTCACTCTTACAGAAAATAAATAGACTTCATACCAGCTTTGGTCCTACATGTGTCTCATGCTCTTACCCCTAAGTCTGCAAATGGCCCATCGTACAAAGCCAACTGAGCAACTCGACACCTGTCCCTGTTTGCAAGTGTCTGGGGCGTGCTGTAACCTCCTCTCAAAGCATTTTCCTCGGCAATCAGTGCTTCCAGCTCTGGTGTGGCTCCTCCTGTTACCAATGTCCGTATCAGTGTGAGGATATTGTCATTGAAGTATGTCTGCAGAGATAAAAGAAAGCTCTTTAAGCAAACACCATTAAAGTCACAACTGAAGACATCCAAATTACAACTTTTCTGGGTTTCTGCTGTTTAAAGTTCTTGGCTGTCTCTTCAAATAATTTTATATAGAAAGTGAAAAGACAGCAGCCTCCAATTACTCTATTTTCTTCTATCCCATTAGGCTTCTATACTAGATCCTTCCTTTTAAACACCAATTCTGGTTGATTTTTATTAAAGTACAAAAATTTGAATGATTTATGTTTCCTATAATTGGCGTTAGTAGTGATGCAATGACTGCTCTCCTTCTCATTGCCTTCATGTCTAATAATGGGCTTTAGGACATGTAATTGTAAAATTCAGACCACATTTAAAGCTTACACAGGCTAGATTGCCTTTTTACTCTTGTCACCAATTCGTTGGGGAGCTGCCTTTGTGCTGCAAATGTCATTACTTATTACTGTGGCTGGACTCTAGCAGTCTAACTGAGGTATTGTACTAAACATCTTATTACGAGACTTGACAGTGTTCAGACATAAGCATGTATCAATTAAACATCTTGAGTTCATTCCAGATAAATGTATGATGAGTTTGGGATCCTGGTGGTCCTTTTAAAAAACTCTAGGGTATAGGGTAAGTGTGGTTTATTAGGGAAGATTTACTCCACACTGACATTTTGCCAGCATCTGTAGCATTGCTGGTCTGTCAGGCAAACAATGAGCATTTTAAATATTAATTTAATGCCAGATGAATGACTTTCAAGTTCACTTAAAAGTATACTAGTATAGTTCAGAGATACACAGTTAAGTATCTGCAGTGCAATGTACTGGGCAAAAAATAATGATCACCAGAAAAACAAGACACCATCATTTACAATGACACCAATGTCTGGGTTTTCAGAAGCTTTCCAAGTGCAGCATATGAAAAGAAAATGAGCTAACTGTAGTATACATGGGATTCACATTATTAGATTTATGACTTTTGTTGATTTTAGGACTTGGACCAAATGTAATCAGATAACATGAAAATGAATACTGCATTCTCAAACAATGCTTGTTGTGCAAAGACCTCAATAATACTTTTCATTGAAATTCATTCCTTTTCCCATATAATGCAATTGTTTGTAACACACAGTAAACTGAGGTACAGGTTGAAATGTTTTATTCTGAGATCAAAACACAGAACTGGCTCCCTATCCATGTTGCTTTGATATTCTTTCTTTGCATAATGAAACCTCAGTTCTATTGTTTACTTGAGCTGACAGATAAAATAGGAGAAAATGAATGCTATGTGGCAACATTTTTCACTGTTACATCGAAATTTCATAACTTCAAGCTGCTTCTCTGCTTATTTACATAGGCATATATGCCATTCACCTGTTGACAAAAATTAAAATGAGAGGAAAATACTATTATTATCATGCAAACCCCAAACCAAATACTTGCATCATATCAGCTCCCATATATTTTAATTTAACCTCAGTATGGCAGTACATGTTTTTAAATACAAAGTGTACTGTGACAGTAGTCTGATACTAGCAGGAGGAATTACTCTAAAACAACAGCTAATCTCAAACCAGCTCATACATGTGTGGATGAAATGTGTAATAATTCAAGGGTAACACAAACTTTTCTTAACATAAAGTAAAATCATTGTGACTCCTTGCAAGAAGGAAAGTCTGGAATGATTATATGATGCTTAATGGGAACTGCAGTGGTGACAGGTAAGACAATCAGGTATTAATGTTTATTTATTCTTCAGTTAATTACTTCTTACTTGATTTCATGGAGGTAAGAATTGGAGCTGCTTTCTTTTGGCAACTTGCTATACTTTTCCAGAAATAAGAAAATCTCAGAATCAACAGATCTGCATTAAGTTTGGTCTCTTTTCTTGGCCTTTGCCAGTGTATATTATTTACCAATCAGAATTAAATAATTAGCATAATTCCTTAGCTCCTGTAGTTTAATCAGCAATGTTTCTTGACACCAACTTCATATATATAAAGACATACACTGACAGATCTAGAGGTTGGAGACACTGTATAATAGAAATTGGAAAAGACTATCAGTAAAAACATGCTTCTATATGGCACTTAAATCATACATGTTCACAGAATTTATTCAAAAATAATATTTTTAGTTTTACTGCTATGAATCAAGATGATATAGGAGAAAAAGTAATACATGGTTCCACAGGTCGACTTTTTTTCAAGTCTGGTTAATAAGCTCATTACACTGTAGCCAAGTCTGACAAGTAATGTTCAGCTACTCTAAGAGTGAAAGTTGTTGATCTGTGTAAAATAACATTTTCATAGCTTGGTGACTTGGAGTGATTGGCAAAACATGCAAAAGTCTGAAGACATACTAAAGATTTTAATGCTCTTTAAGGAGATAGGTATAATTAGACCAAAATTTCCTGACTTATACCTCATTCTCTCTTTATTCTGTAATGGAAATCACAGCTTCTATAGCCAGAATCCAAGATTTAAACACATATAACCTTACATCATTTGCATTTTGTACTGTGCAAGTACACAACTACCCTCAGTTACAGCTCACTAGAGAATGGTCTACTAAGAAATTACAATGGGGCCACCTTGCTCATTGTACCATAGATCTCATATTTAACAGAGAAATGAGAGACAAATTTTAAGTGACGTATCAAGGCAGGCACCTGTCATAAAGTTATTAATAGGAATTAAATAAAATGAAAATGAAAATAAAAGTAAGTAAAGTAAAATAAAATAAAATTAACCTCCCCAATGTCCATTACAACTAAGAAAAGATGGGCCCAATTCTGACTTACATGCCAACCATGAGCAACTCTAAAAGCCATAAACTGCAATGAAACTGGTGCAAAAGGGAAAAGAATCCAGCCTATTGTCAACATAGCAGAATGTTGTCATGCAACAAAGGCCTCTCACTGCTAGACAAATGTTAAGGCAAAGCTAAGATACTTATTAGCAAAGAAGGAAACATTAATTTTTGAACAGCCGCTTAATTTGGGTTTCAGACCATGACTGATATGGATGTCACCATTTAATCAGATGGATGAGTGCAGCCAAATGATTGTTTTCTTCAATTTCTGTCAATGAGTGTAAAGATTCCAGCTTTCAGGATGGATAGTGTTAGCACTGCAGATGACCAGAAACTGTCCACCTGCAACCAAGCAAGGATGGGTGAAAAGGAAGTGGCAACTTGGCATCTTTTGCTAAATAGTGTTGCTTCTTCCCGTACTTTGATTTAACACTCCTCAGGAAAGTCCTATCTTTCTTTGCTTTTGATTGTCACAAAAATCATACTCCCTTTACAACCTCTTGCCGGTTTGGAATTGGGGAACATTGATCTTCATGTTTGCCTTTCCAACCCAAATCGTTCCTATGATTCTATGATTTCTATGATTATAACGCTGAAAAGCTGAACTAGCTGATATCCATTTCCTTTGGAATAATAATACACTGAAATTAATTTGAGAGTGATCTCGTACTTGCTCTGTGGGAGGGTACATGGCCTGGATATGCCAGTACTTGTAAGGAAACACTCTACAGAATCACTTTGGAAAGGTGCTGCTGTACTTAAAGTACAACATGACATTCTTCAGTTATGGCAGTGAATTACTTTTCTTGGCTGTTAAATCATAGCTGAAAATATATTTGTTTGCTCCTGCCATTAACTTTACCCTATAATGAACATCTGCATAGTGTCACTGTAATCAGCATCCACAGTGAGAATATGACACGGTACAGGCTAAATAAAGAAAAAAGAAAATGCATCATAGACACTAAAAGTGAGCAAATAACAAGGAAATTCTGGCACAGATATCTGAGCTAGCACTGCCACCTAGCCTATGCGCCTGAAGTGTAGAGTAGCTCTTTCCAATGATTTGGGGACCCTTTCCTTTTTGTTCAATTATTTTTTAAAGTATAATTACCAGAGTGTTTATATTTTGCAGTTGAGGCTGTCAAGTCTCTTCAACTAATTGGTCCTTCACAGAAAATTTAACCAAAAATTAGCACATCTTTTAATAACATTGCTTTAACTTTAATGGCATTTTGCTTTTCATTTATAATTACTCTGAAATTGTCATTTTCCAAGCCATATCTGCCATTTTTTATGTTTGCTAGTGTGCTTTTTTTTTTTTTAATGAGTTCATTCTAAGAATGCAACTCCTCCACTGCATGCAGTTTTTTAATATCTTTTTCAAATAATTTTTTTAACTTCTTTTTCCAACTGGAGGAATTCTGATAAACAGATAATTTACATGCAAACATAAAGACTGACTAAGCCAACATCAAGGACTTCTACTAAGAACAAACGTGTTTGAGATAGAATGAAGAGCAGAAAAGTAACAGCAGGGTTTTAGTGTCTGAAAATGGATTGGTTCCCAAAATATTGTCCAAACTTTAAAGAAGTTTTGAGCAGTTTGAGCTAAAAGATGCTGTTTGCTGACTTGCATAAGACTCGTGTTCCAAAATGTCCATATTATAGATTAAAACAGTTTCTTTTCTGCATAATGAGACTATGTGAGACTATGAGAAACTCTTGAGGAAGGGAGAACTCCTGAATACAAGATATACAGCAAAGTAGCTTTGAACGGTTATTCTCTTTCACTGTTAAGCTTTTTTTTTAAAGGAATAGGATTTTGTGATATAAAAGAAAAAGCAAGACCCAAGGTAATAGCACAAGGAAATAAATTCTATAATACCGGTTGTTAAACTGCAGTCTGTTTCTGGAGATCCCTGCCTCTAGGCTCTGGCACTATTTGGTAGGTGTAAGCTTCAGGACCAAAAGGAGACATGGACAAGCTTTGGCTCTCAAGCCAACATTGCAAATATTTAAAGGTACTGCATTTATAAAACTAATTAGTTCACATGCGCAGGATTGTCTGTTATAACTATGTCATTATCACCCAGAAAAGGAAGAAGTTCACAAAAACAAAACAAAACAAAAAAACAACCACCAAACCTTGTTTTTCTTAAGCTATCTTTTTTATACATTCCAATCTAATGATTTTCAATTATGTTCAATTTGGTGATGACTTTGCTTTTCAGGAGTGGCCTCACCTCGAGGCTAAAAAACTGCATATATTCTTTCACTGGGTTTGCACATGTTATGACATTACAATTATTCATATATTCGTTCAAGTCACTGATGGCAGTAGATGCCTCTTTGGAGAGACAATAATGCTTAGCTGGCATGATTTAACAGCAGTCACTGTTCACTTAAAACATGAACCATGCGTGCAGTCTTCATACAGAGTACACTCATACACTTCTGCTGAAGCCTAGGAGACCTCTGTTACCAAATCATTGAAAGGACACTGCAGTTTTTGAGCTCATTATTATCTTCTGAGCAATGATCTTCAAACTACCACATTGTGAAACACAGGCTTTGGAATATATTGCTTTTGCTGCAGAGGACAAACTCGATAGCCTCTAGGCAGTCTTTTGAAAAGTGAACTTTGTTAAGCCTTTTACCTTTCAAATAAGAAAATAACATGACTTCAAATTTGAAGTGTACAGTATTGTCATTTTATAGGAAATAACACGAAACCAGCAGAAGATAGTGCCTTCCAGTATTCAAATTTGAATCAGAATGTAACCGTACTTTCTGAGATTTGTTAATCCACTATTCCTATATTAATACATTTATTAAAAAAAAACAGGAATAATCAATGCCATTTAACACTTTTGAATTAATATTCAATGACTTGATAGTTTAACTGAAGTACCATATTTAGCAATATGACTTGTGAATACAACTCGGCATAGAAGCCCATGCAAAAGGATTTACTGTGCAGTACTTATTTTGCCCCTCTTTTTCTATGCATAAACCTCCATATGTAATTTTTAAGTTGTCTGGAAGTCAGAAAGAATACTGCATGCATGAATATTATTCCACTGTCTAATCTTATTCTATTATCTAATCTTTCTTATAGCTGTTTTACTACAAAACTCCAACAATGTAAAAAGCGATTCATTCTTAATGGAGCAGTTAATCCATTGTGCATTTGTATTTTAGCCCATGTGAGGTATTCACATTCCTGAAATAACAACAGAGATCATAAGTTGGAACTTTGCTATAAAAATTAAGTAACAATAAAATTGAATCACTAAGTGGATTGAATATTGAACTATTTTCTTCCCTCAAAATGAGCTGGCAAAGAACAGCATGAGGTGCATTATTTCCTTACAGCACAGAATTCCTGTGTAACTAATAGGATGAAAAAATAACTGTTGATCTCACAGTTTCAGATTTTGATTTTACTTTGCCACTACTGGGTAGAAACTAGGCAGAATAAATAGATATTATTTCCTAAAAATAAGCATACTCTAGAAAACAAACAAAACAAAAACCAATGAGATAATACAATGCAAGTAGATTAGTTTGACTGAGAAACACTCCTTTCCTTGGATGACCCCTAAAAGGAAAAATGCTTGAAAAAAAAAGTCTGTTGAAGAAAAAAATGTCAGAAATGGAGGGACATGTTACCAAAAACTAGAAGTCTATGAAAGGCAGCAAGAACTTAAAATATTGTGAGGATTATGTGACAAGTTCTGAGGAAAAATTCTAAATAGTAATGTTCTCTATTTTTCTGATTGAATCTCTGTTATCTAGATCATGTATCTTTGTACAAGAAAGCAATGACATCCACAACCTTTTGCTTTCTTTTTGGGGGGATGCCAGTCATGATCAGAAGAATTAATACAACCCTGGAAATGGCCTTCAGAAAGATTCATCCAGAGACATTGCTTTAGATAATAATGTGAGTATATAAACAGTATTCAGTATAACAGTTTGGAATCTTCATGTTAAATTATTCCCATTTACAAGGAGAAAATGATAAATATATTATCCATAGAGATTTTAAATAGAGAAGGTACAAAGTTTAGATGTGCTTGCTTAGGCTTTCCGAATTTGTCAAGTCTGCAAAACATGGCCAATAACTTTCAAAAAATGTATTTTCTGAGTTTACTGCAAACTCCTACACTGCATTAGAATAAAATTTTATCAGTGTTGACTGATACTATTCAGCTGTGGATGGAATGTATAGGGAATATAGTAGAGAATAAAAAAAATGAAATAGGTATGTAAACTTGTAATATGAATGAAATATCAAATAACAAAGATCATTGTGAATTTTTCTTAAAAGCAAAAAACTTCATTCTGAATTTAGGTGAAGGTCAGAATTGGCTCTTAAAGAAATCAGTCTGCTCATGTCTAATATTATGTGAGGTTTACAACAGATGATTGCTGGCAACATGGAACTGTATTACAGGGAGAGCTCAGAAAGCCTACACTCAGATTTTAAAAAGGATATGTCCTTGCTACTTCTAACAGAGCTTAAGGTTCCTCTGAAGTGTAGCCTACAGAGCAAAACTGTTCTGAAAAAAAGCCAATATGAAACAAGGGAGGATGAAAAGGAATATGACCAAGATGTTTGCTTTGAAACTGTACTAGAGCTGCAAACCAAAACCCTAGTGTAGGCATTACTAAATGCCACCATCTGTAGGTTCCAGCATGCACTTATGCCCTGATTCATATGACAACTCATTTGAAAAAGGGATTACAACCTCTCTTCACAAAAGTAGAGTCCACTTGATGTGCACAATGGCTTTTGTATTTAGTACAGTTCTATCAGTGTCCTGCAGCACCCACAGTACTGCTGAGGGCTAGAAGAAATTAAAAGTTTAAAATATGGTTGTTTTGCACAGTGTTATGTACAGTGAGCATAGACCAATGCACTGAATTTGGAGATACAACGCTTTTGGAAACTATTACCCTTTAAGTTGGATAGGAAACTCTGCTTTTAAAAACTGTGGGTTCATTGTGGTCCTAGGTATCTTCTTTGTTTTGGATGCAGGTCTCTGGGTCCAACAGAAAAAAATTCTAGTAAATGTTCTGGAATTCTCTTGACATGAGGAACTATATTCTCCTGACTATTTGCACTACAAGAATTACATTTTTTACTATTTCCCCGTAAGTCTGATGGAAAAAAAAAAAAGTTTTGTTCACTTACTGCGCTCATGAGAGAGTCCAGCACGCTGACAGCAAATGCGGTTCCACATGCAAAGGGCTGTGTGAGGTACAGTTCTGTGTCTGGGTCATCATCATCATCTTGGTCCAAGAACTGAACATTTGAATCATTTACTGAAAACAATAATCATAATAATACAATCATAAAGTGCCTCTAGGTCACCAGTATATGACCTTACATATTACACAGTCAGAAAGAAAAAGGAACAGCTTATGTCTGGAAACACAGACTTGTGCCTTTGACGTCACTGAAAATGAAATCAAGATGGATGTGAAAATGTGCATTTACATATAAAAATCTTTTTATCGGTATCCTGCTCATGAGAGGTGGCTCTCGCTCTTGGTAGTTGACTATCCCTTTGCTGTAAAAGTAGCCTTGTGGCAATGTCTGCCTGCACACAAAAGGGGTACACACAGCTCTTCTATATACTGAAACAATCCTGGTATTGGTCAGGTATAGTGGCTAAGGTTGTATGCATGCATGTTCAGTGAAATGTTATCACAAGACACCAAGTCAAAACCTCTTTCTAAAATAGAGGCTGCCCATAAAATTCTAATTTAGCCCACAGGCATCTGTTAGATGTGTTGCTGTGATTCTTACTGGACTGGTGTTAATGCATTTACAGCTCAAAAGAGGATAAACTATCCCTTTAACATGCATTTATCTGAATGAATGAACAATATTCCAACTATTCTGTTGCAGCACTGCCTTTTGCTCAAATATTTGTCTCTATAACCTCACTTCCACAAATTCTGTATTAGCCAGTGTGAAAAAGGATCTATATCGGACTGCTCTAGAGAAAAGCACAAAGTAATATTTGTCATTTAGACTTTCTCTGGCATTTTATTGTCACAGCTAAGCTCTGTGCCTCTACTTCATACCACTAAAAATAGTTGTTTACTTGACATCAACTTATCAAGTGAATAATATTACATTACGTATCCAATTTCCATATTAGCCCTCCTTAGACATGAAAGCATGGACTGCTTAGCAATGTCACTGAAATAATATTTATCTTATTAAATGACAAATTAATTTAAAGTCCTGTGCAAGGAAGGAAACTCAGAAAAGTTTTTGGCATTTTCAATGGCATTCTTTGACTATGCTCCTAATCCTTACATGAGCCCATCTGTTGATCCAAGTCAGGGAGCATAGAAATCAACATGACAGCTGCTATTGGTCAGATTTTAGCTTTGGACTTCTAAGTTTAGGAATTCTGTCTGCAATTCTGGTCATCCTGTGTAGCTTCATTTTTTATCCACTCCTTTCTCAGCCTGTGTATACTACCAAATTTGCCACAGTTTGCTAGCAAAACATGAATATTTACAGATAAAGGCTTGTTATACCCCTCTAAAAGGCATGAGCGTTGCTATCTTTCTCTTGCTGAGCCAGCACTTGGCTATGTTCATACAGCAAATCAGGACCAGAGATGAAGTAGGATTTAAAAACCGTATCTTCCCTCTTCCAGATGTAACCATGCAAACATAACTCCTCAGCATTTTAAATGGAGAAGTGTTCTGCTCTATGAGCTGAAAACTTTCACCCTAGTAAATGCCAATATCTACACTATTTCTTTCTTTATATAATGGCTATCAATTTATCCTCCAGGTTCTTGAGCAAAATAATATTTGAAAGCTTGATGTATCATTTCAAAATGTACTTTTTGAAGAGCTCATGCCTTAGTTTAATTTGCTCACTGTGACCAGGCACTATTGACAGTAGCATTCTTTTACCACTTACATCTGGCAGACTAATACCTGACTTTGACACCTGCTTACTAGTTATGCATGGTGTCAGCTTCCACAGTACTACAAATCCAATGTGAATCCTGGGAGTGCTGCTTTATCCCCAATATCTTTATCTGCCTGATGAAAGTTAGCTGCTACTATGTCTATGAAAGGTCTCTAGGCTGGGTGAGGTAGGCCTGGACATCTGCTGCTGCACCGCAGGAAATGCTAATCAAACACTGCTCACAAAAGCTTCTGAAATCTCTCTTTATGGGGAGGGAAAAACACAGAAGCTTCAATGCTTTTTTTTGCAGCTTCAAAACCTAAGGTTCAGAGAGATGGCCTACTCCCCCCAAAAAAACAAATAGCTGAAGGGAAAGTGTGATACTGGGGGTTCATTTCTGATATCTTTTACTTCTTCTTTGACTTCCTCTGAGCACCGCTAAGGCATGTCCACCAAATTGACAATAGGCTGAAATAACAAACAGAGAGAAAGAGAAAGAGAGAGAAAAGGAGAGAAAAATTGGCAGGCGGAGGAGGGGCCCAGGAGGTGGGAGCCCAGGCCAGAGAAAATGAATTGGTGAGAGGTGCTATGAAAACAGCCGGCAGGTCAGACGAGTGTGATCAAAGGTTTACTGATGCTGCGTGAAAAAAAAAATCATTAAGATAGGCCAGAACAAGACAGTCAATTTCAACCAGAACCACAAATAAAACACATTCAAAGCAGTGCCATGAGGGTAGCCCCTCTGATACAGCCAGATAAATAAAAAAAAAAAAAGCTGATGACAGTAAGAACAACAACAACGGAAAATAAGACAGTGATGTGAAGGAAAAAGGCACTTCTTACCCAGTTCAGTTATCATTAGTATGTGGGTTCCACTGTTTTTTTCCTGACTGATTGAAACCAAAGGCAGAAGTTTGCCAGGCTTAGCTAATAAGTAAAGTATTTAGGGGGAAAAGAAAGTACAGAAAGAGAATAAAGTAAGGGAAAAAGACAGGTAAGGCTCTAAAAAATAAAACTGAAAAAGAAAATAAAAGGACAAAGGACCACAAATCAAGTTTGTATTTGCCATGAAAAAGCAGAACAGCTTCTGCACTTCACATCACACCACTTGACAACATAAATACCCACAGTCAGATTGGAAATCAGAGCCTGGTTACCTACCATCACCATATTCTCAGGGGTAAAATATCTCATACTGTTATACAGAGTTTGGTTACACATGATTAAATGGTTCTGGACCATGAAGAGATAAACAAATAGCCTCTTACTATTGACTAAATGCACAGGAAATGTCTGCTCATACTTACTATGGGGTATTTTGGAGATGTTTTTTTTTATAACCTCATCCCAAAGAACTCTGCTTATTTGTTACATTAGGTAAAAAGTATCTTGTCTGATAGTTTGTTTAAAGAAAATGGAGAAAACACAGAGGAAAGAGAGAAATATATTTCAGTTGTTTAAATAAAGTGAAACAGCTGTTACTAATCTTTCCTTGGAAAGAGCAATTCAAAGGAGTTATCAGAAAACACGGCAGTGTAACATGCAATATAGGGAATTTTCCTGATGCCACATAAGAAGGAAAGTGGGAAAAAGACAGGGAAACGTACATGATAGGATAAATGCTCTTCTTACCTAGCTCTGTTATAATAGGGATGTTGGCTCCTGTCGTAATGGAGGGTTGACGTAACAGGCCGTGGACAGGACTGTTGTCTGGAGATGACCTATCCATACCAGGGGGTGTAAAACCTGAAAAATAAAATAAAATAAAATAAAACAAAATAAAATAAAATATCAAAGATATTTAGACATTAAGTCTGTATAAAAATGAAAAATACTTTTTAGGCTGATTGATATAATGACAGAAATTTAAAAAAAAAAATAATCATCATCATCAAGGAATTTCCTATCTATTATTTTTAAGAGAAGAACAATGAAGACATCTGACTTTTTTTTTTTTTAAAGATTAACTTGATCTTCAACAATAATTTCTTAAAAGCATAATCCTTCAGAAATATAGGTCATTTAAACAGGGTAAGGTAGTAATTTGGTAATTTGGTAGCTAATGGAGAAGCTGGAACGCATTTTTTTATCCTGGGTACTCCTTATATCAAAACACACTAAATGTTTTGCTTGCTTAAATATGAATAAAAATAATAAACACACACACACAAAAAGCAACTTCAATTTTAGAGAGGTTTATTTTTCTTCTCCTTTTAGCACTTGTATTTGTTTTGAATGGGATAGTTAATTTTCATGGCTACCTGACAAGTTAAACCACATTATTTCAAGTAATCCTGAAACAAGTATTCTTCCTCAAATCTGAATTAAAATTATAGTGTTCTGTTTCTAAAACAGTAGTTCAACCCCAGTAGCTAAGTGTTTCCATTAGTAAGTCTGATGTTTGATCAACATGCAGGATTTAGGATTTGCTGTTTTTCAGGAGCAGTAAAACCAACAGTATTTTGCCTTTCAGACATACATTGCATATGAACATTTATGAAGATTACAGTTACAGAAATACTGAGATGGAAGGTTACATTCTAACAAAAAATAGAAAAGATGGGAGGAAAAAGACACAGATTTTCAAATGTTATGGAAAAGTGATGCATGAAAAGAAACTAGAAAGAGGCTTACACCTTTGGGGATGTATAAGAAGGTAGGAAAGACATCAAGAGGCACTCAATGGAGAAAAGATCTGGAAAGCAGCAAGGCTTATCTCTAGCAAACTGATAATCTTTATGTTTTCAGCCTTATTCTCTGCACAGTTTGAAATGAAGCTCTTGGAACTAAGCTTTTTTTCTTTTCTTTTTTTAAATTGCAAAAAAAAACCAAACCAAAACAAAAAAACCAACCTACGCAAAGCCTTTGGAGTTGGATTGTAAATGGTTGAATATTGGTGGTTATACAAAACTTTATGCAACAGTTAGTCTAGAAATTCACAGTTTGTCATTTTTATTGAAGCTGTAGAAAGTGCAGAAATGCTCATCTCATAACATCATTGCAGAGGTGATGATGAACCCTGAGTTTGAATTTAGGACTTCATTTAAGACCACTGTCAAAAAAGTGTTTTTAAGCAAATATTTGTCAGCTACGAATAAGAATAGGCCACACTTGCTTTAAAATACACATTTCTGAGAAATCTTTTTTTTTTTTTTAAAAAAAATTGCATTTTGCCTGAGTTCCTTGACTTCAGCCCAGGGACAGATTTCTGTCTCTCTCATTACTGACCTGAAATAATTTTGATTTTTTCCTTATGCCAATTCTAAATTAATCACAGAAAAATTCCTGATGTAACTTCATTGTTTTCTTGCAGTGTGGAAACTTTTTCCCTCAGTTAAACTTGTTGGTACAGTCATCTGCTACTGAACTCAGAACAAGATGACATAGTTCATTCTTCAGCTAATTTGCAAACCAGAAAATCTCTAAACTCAACTGTATTTTTTAATGTGTAGTACTGGCTTTATATTGGTTTTTGCGAAGAATTTTCAATTCTTTTCCAGTGGCAATTACCCTCACTATTAAAATTGTCTCTAAACAAGTCAAACTATAAAGATCGCTTGATCTAGACTTCTTAATGTAATGGAATTCTTTATTTCATGTTCAGTTTATTTCTCCCTAAATCCTGTCTATATGAAATATATAATAGATAACTAATAAAACTGGAATCACTAAAAGACTTAGCCCTCCAAAAGATGCCAATATGAATTTCCTATTTACAGCATGAGGTCTGTAAGGAGAGAATGTTATACAAAATCGCCAGTGCTTCTGCACAAGGTTTGCCATTCTCAAAGAAAGTACACAGAAGCAAGCTAACATTCATCAGTTTAATAGAGAGGTACTCACATTACCAGGGTGGCTGGTTGGTCAGTCTCCACCAAGATCTCATTACCGATGGTGGTCAGCTGGTATAGAGTCTGCCCTGGGACTATCCCTGGCAGATACCAGCTGTGGCAGGTCAGCAAGTTGTCCACTAACCCAAGCACCCTAGGGCAGTACTTCTGGGGCCAGCCATGAAGGAACTGCTGCCCTCTTTTTCCTGATGGCTTCCTCTCCCTATCTCAGGATGCACTATCTAAAACATCTTTCACTGAATCAGACTCTCCAGATGATAAGAGCACATCAGTATTTCCCAGTCAGCTAAAAGCAAATTGAAGAAAGTTTGCATAAATGCTTCTAAATGTGTAAATTCTTCTTACCCTCCTACTACTGCAATGTACACACATGCAGGCATGCACCCATGTGCACACACACACATTCTCCATACGTGGCTGTTTGCATCCACCTCTCTCTAACCCTTCAAATATTTGTCTTCCTAGACAAATGTCTAGAAGTGTTAGAAGATTGAAGTAAATGTGGCATTTCTGTTAGACACAGACTGTCAGGAGCTCTGTAATTGCACACTGCACTCAGTGCATTCAGTCTGAAATGCAAGAAGCATGTTAAAGGGTATTTTTTTCTCCTTGAATGAAAAACAGACTCATGACTAAATATTTCTCATTCTATGATCTGGGAAGATATAAGAAATATTTGCTATTTTAATTTAATTTCCCTGCCTGGGATTAATTCAGACACTTCTACAAATCGACTTCTGAAAAATATACAACTATTGGAATATTTTCAAAAAAAGAAGAATTGGAATTATTAAAGATTTTGTGTGCCTATATTTAGAGTCAAGGCATCATCCACATTCAGGCCACGCTCTTGCTCCCAAGTCATAAGGTAAACTCTACGGATAGGCTTTCTAATTTTTTTTCCCTCTAGAAGGAAAAAAAAGTGCAGGAAAACTAACCTGCTTTATCAGAACTTTCATTTAAAGGCATGAAAAACTACAAGTGACAGCTGTGCAGATTCAGTGAATGTGACATTTTTGAATTTCTTCAACTTGACAAGTAAACACCTTAAATCGGTAATGCTATATGCATAATACATGACCTGTATTTTGACATCCATCATCAAATGCTGACTTGAGAAAATACAGGCTTGTACGTCAAGGAATAGCACCCATAAAGCAGGGAGAAATTCAGGTCACAGGGTATTAGGAAAAGTCTATTTCATTACAGAAGCTGAAACAAGCTAAGGCATCAGATTTAAGATCCATTTTCTGCTGTGAAAAGATCCAATTCCTCTGCACAGAGCATTCATTTAGAAATGACATGCTTTCCTCACAGCCTCTTTTCATTTTCCTTTTCATATTCCATTTTCTCCTTCAGTCCCCAAACCTTGTTCCATTAATGCTCATAAAAATAGTAAAGCAGGGCTGATAGTTGTGATCTTCTTATAACCATAGTGTCTCCTTGCTCAGCAAACAACTGAGGGAGTTACAGCTACAATTGCTCAACAGGATCAATCTCTAGAGTAAAATTCACACAGGCTCCTAAAGCTGAAGTCATTGTGTAAGGAAATACAATGGCAACTGGGGTCTTCTGGAAAAAAAAAAAAAGAAAAAAAAGAAAAAAAAAAATCTGGGGTCATCCTACCACAGCTGGCAGTAGTGCTTGCATCCATAAGCTCCAAGGAAGGAAATGGCTTGGAGAAATCAGGAAATTCAGGCACAGCTTCACAGTGACTTCTGCCCACTGAAAACACTGGCAATAATTATTGTTTGCTCTGCTTACACAAGGTTTGGAGAAACTCATCTGATGGCCAAATGATCTATCGATTGTGCTGGACACAAACTTGTTTTTTATTCTCATGCAGTTCACTTAACTGAATAACATCCTGTGAAATGCAGTAAGACCTGCTCTATGTAGCAGCGAATAGATCCTTTTAGTTTGCTGGTGTTACACTTTAATGGAGTTTTAAAATAGATACAAATTTGGCTGTTGGAAGGATGCACTGGAAGAATACTTCTGTCCCAGGAATCCAGATGAGCATATTCACAAACCAGATTTTTATGCTACAATTATCAAAAAATCTTCTGTTCCAGAGAGTCATAAAAGATAGTTTACGGCTCCTAGCCCCTTCGCTTTTGCCTCCTTTTCCTTTCAAAGGATACATATTTTATTAAACTGGAAGTATAAAGGCAGAATGTAGTTTACGAAATAGAAAACTCTAAAGGTTGTGATCCTGTCACTAAAGTGCGTTGTAAATTGATAATGCCCTTTAATTAATGCCCTTTAATTAAGGCTATTCTGGGGAAAGGTGCCATGGGATTCACTGGCTAAAGCAAGCAGTGAAGTCCTCAAAAATATAATTTGTAAATCATACATGCTATGAACTAGCTCTGGCTCACCTGAGAAGCATGAAACAGAAACCATATTTTGGGCATAGTCAAGTAGCATGCAGGCAGTGAACTACCAAACACATCACTGACAAGTGAATATAGAGAAATATGAGACAAGGATTTTCATTAAGCAGAGTCAGAAAAAAAGAAATAATTCTCTTACAAAAGGATCTCACATCTCTATCCCTTTGTTACTGTTTGCTGACAATGTTCATTAATATTCTGTTGAATTCAGTGCAATGATAGACTATACCTGTTATTCTCCGAAGTACAGCCACTGGGGTACACCAGAAAAGTTCAGCAGCAGTCATGCAGCTAAAAAGCTGCTGACATTCATGAGAATCTGTTACAGTCATTCAATTTAGAAGCAATTCTAGTTTCAAACGTCCCGTGCGGTCTCAGACAGAGAGATGTAGTTTGGCCTCAGAATCTGAATATCCTAAATTCTGATACCAGTTCTGACTTCTATTTTAATTTGTGCCTGAAGATTTAAAAATTCTTTGGAGATTATCTCTACAGGTCT